ACGTCCTAGACTCTCCAGAAAGCTTCAGCTCCAGATTCTGAATCTTTAACATGCACCAGGTTTTTAATTCATCCACCAACGACATCTAAAAATAAACGAGAAATACAAAGAAGAACGAGGCGAATTTCACAGGTGACTTATGAATTAAAGCATCAATAACGAACTTTTGAATTATCATGGTTGAGGTGGCCATTTTGACAAATCTAAAAATTGTAACTACCCATCCCCCCGCAGTCCATGTGCATCTAGCACCCAAACCAAGAGCCATCTATCACCGTCATTAGAGCCACCCTGACCTCCAGTGTCCAGAAGCCACCTGAAACATCCAAACTAAGCATTTCTGGCTGCTTAGAAGCACGAGCTCTTGCATGTGCTCAGCAACACACCCTATCTGAACTATAGGTTCTTTGCCACTAACTTCATTTTAAGGTTACAAAAATAATAAGCTAGGTAATACAAATGCTCTCCAGGAGTCCAGGCCTCCGAGTGTTCAATGGTGGGTCTGACTCTTTTAATTGTAAGGAAAGGCTGAAGACCCTGGCTTTACCTGTCGCTTCTCTCCGTCGTGCTTCTCGGCATCTGAGTGCTGCTGCAGGCGACTCAGGCACTCGGTTCTCTCTGCTGAGAGTCGCTCCACCATCAGCTTGTCCAAAACACGCATCTGTGATTCAAGAGGAGCAGAATGCCCACTGAGACATCAAAGGAAGAGCCATGGTCTCTGCACGTGTAAGGACCAGCTCAGGCCTTTCCAGCAGGGGACAAAGGCAGCAAGAAGACTTCACTCCTGTCTGTCCTGCCTCACATAGCTTCTCAAATTCCTGTGCACAATCCTAAATGGTCAGTGCTGTTTCTTTCATTCATTTGTACAAGTCCTAAGAATACAAGTCCTATGAATACAGAATAATACACACCTGAGCAAATGCAGATCCGGTGGGCAAAAAATAATTGTATAGGCCTTAGAACATTAGTACCAAGACTGCTCTTAGGAACAACTATCTCTAAAGGTAGGGCTCTTCTTGTAGTCTACACCAGCCTTGGGATAGCTAGCATTCCTATAATGCAGTCCTCTAGGGACACAGGTGAACTGACATGGATTTTCTATACACAAAACAGTCTTAGCTAATATATCATGATCCTAAGAAAAGACTTTTTAAAATGGGCTTTCCACAAAATGCAAATATCAAGCAAATCTTAAAAATGTTCAATCTCAACAGTAAATAAGGAAATAAAACTTAAATAGTGAAATGTCTTTAATTCTGCAAAATCTTTTAAAAAATAGTAAGTGATGGCAAAGATTTGAGACAAAAACTTAGCCACTGCTGGTGGGGTGTAAATTGGCACTTTTCTATTAAGCAATTTGCCAATATTTATCAAGTGCCTTAGACGTTAACATTGGACCCAATTATCCCAATGCTAAGGAAATATACTGAGAAGGGGTCAAAAGTTTCTGCACATGAATATTCATCTTAGCATTGTTTATAAGACAAAAAAATGAATAAACAAATAATGGTGTATTAATATGCTGGAATATTAGCTAAGGACATGGGAAAACAACACAAAATTAAGTGTAAAAAGCAGGAAACAAAATGTTATTCCTCCATACCCAGGAACAGTACATGCCACTCCAGAGCTACTGGAGCTCCACAAGTCTAAGGCATATTACTAGATAAAAAGCAAGCTGCCAAAAAAACAGTATGGTTCCATATTTGCAGAGTCTGGTGGTGCATGACTGTAATCCCAGCCATTTAGCAGAAGGAGGCAGAAAGGTCACAAGTTCAAGGCCAGCTCTAGCAAAGTTAGCAAGGCTCTATCTCAGAAACAAAATGCAAATAAAGGGGCTGGGTGCATGACTCAAGTGGTAGAGCATTTGGCTAGTGAGTGTAAGACCCTGGGTTCAGTTCCTGCTACAGAAAAAAATCATTATGGAGGTTATATCTATAAGAGAGAAAACCTGTATGAGATGGAGGCACTCTTTTGGGAATGTCATTGTGAGACACATTTCTGTGTTCTGGAATGGCTTTTCCAAAACACATGTGATTTTGTATGTTTCCTTAAAGAGTTTTTTTTAACCTGGAAAATCTTATGCATTACACATTTCTTACTAATAACAAAGGGAAATGTACCTTTAAGACAGACGAAAATGGGAATTACTAGCTTAGCCAAGTAATCAAATCAGCATCACTAATAAGGAGACAGCCTGACATTAAGACTGGCAATATTTAACCTGAACCTCTTAACTACCTGGACCAGCAGTTCTCAAACTTTGGCACATACCAGCATCACTGGAAGTCTTGCTAAAACACAGGCTGATGGACCCTAGACCAGAGTTTCAGTCACAGTTAATTCAGTTCAGTAGATCTGGAATGAGGCTGACAACTGCTGGTCCAGGGACCACACTTTGAGAACCACTGCTCTAGACCTAACTTTCAGTTTACAGAAATAGAAGGATGGAAGAACTTAAATAACATCATGAGGAAACAATCAGAGAAATCTAGGATATGGTATATCCTATTAAACAACTGATTTGCATGTTTAAAAGAGATAATAGCATGGAAAAGTCTGGAAGAAATCAGAACTGTGCTAAATCAAAGGCACAGTGTGAATTTTGGGATTAAAAACAAAAACCAGCTCAAAAAACATTGAGACAATTGAGATATGAACTGAATATAATGTAATTATGTTAATTTTCTGAGTGGTAAGGGTATGGTGGCTATGGAGGAGAAAGTCCTTATTCTTGGGGGGTGTGTTCTGAAGTTTTGAGAGGTGCCACGTCAGGACGGTCTGCAACTAAACTTCCCACAGTTGCACAGGAAAAACGGTGTGGACATGAGAGAGACAAAGCAAATGGGTAACATATTGAGAACTGGTCAGCCTCTTCCTATAAACTGCGAGGTAACCTGTGAAAATGGTTTGCTACTCTCTTGATCCAGAAAACTGCATAAAAATCATGTCAATCAAGAGGTTCAAATCTTTGTGTTCAGTTTAAGAACCAAGAAACTGTCCAAGGCATCAAGGGTATACATATCCACCAAGCATCTGAAAGAAGTCATTTTCAAGAAGCAATGTGTGCCATTCAGCGTTACAATGGTGGTGTTAGTAGGTCTCCTGCAGCCCAACAATGGAGCCTGACACAGGGTCAGTGGTCCAAAGACAGTGCTAAAATTTTGCTTCACATACTAAAATGTGGAGAGTAGAGCTAAGCCTGAAGGTTTAGATGTAGATTCTCAGGTCATGGAACATGTCCAGGTGATCAAAGCACCCAAGACGGGCCACCGTACTTACAGAGGTCAGAGTTGGATTAACCTGGACATGAGCTCCCTGTGCTACACTGAGACACTCCTCAATGAAAAGGAACAAACCGCTCCTCAACCAGAAGAGGAGGTTGCATGGAAGAAAAGTTGCCCTAAAGAAACTGAATAAACAAAAACTTACGGCAAAAGAATAAATTCAGCAGAAAATAAGTACAAATACAAGTGAAAAAAAAAAAACCTGGTTGAATCTAGGTGAGAGTATACAAACATTCATTAGTTTCTTCCTAAAGTTTTTTTGTACAGTTGACAATTTTCCAAATAAAAAGTTGGAAAAAAGGAACAAAAACTACTACAGACATCATTATTCTAATTTTGTGTGCAACTGGCAAGGGGTATAGGGCACAATGGCATATAAAGATTGGAAGAAGCCAAGGTGAGTAGCTCAGGTAGTACAGCACCTGCCTAGCAAGCTTGAGGCCCCGAGTTCAAACCCCAGTACCACAAGAAAACAAAAACAAACAAAAAAACCACTGAACAAAATTCCATAATGCAGGCCTGCCAGGCCAGTATTCACTCTCAGGGCACAGGGCTATGCTAACACCTCTCTATTTTATTTTTTTGCTTTTTGGAGGCAGTAGCTGGAACCCAGACCCTTGTGCATGCCTGGTAAGTACTTATCACAGAGCTATGCTCCCAGCGGGCACACCTAACCAGGAGGCTAGCCCACTGCTTACTTGGTGCTGTGTTTTGGCTTCCATGTGGCCCAGCTTCATGTTAATTTTATCTTGCACAGACCCCAGCTCTGCTTTTATCTCTTCCACGGTTGCTTCCAACTGATTCTCCAGCTTATTGATGAGAGGTTCACAGCGACAACCATCTATTGGTGCCTAGGAGGGAACAACAAAAAGGAAGCATGTTCTCCTTCGTTCTTCCACAAATGTCTTCACTGTATGCCTGGGTGCAGATGATGGAGGGGGGACATCCCTGCCCTTGTTCTGGAAACCCCATCCTCTGGCTCAGTTTCAGGTCCAGAAGTCTCAGAGGGTAAGACATGGCCCCTGTTTTCAAGCCATCTGTCTCTACCCTGGGCCTCAAGATGAAGTTCCCTAATGACAGTGCAGAAAGCTGTATAACTGCACCTCTATATGCCAGGACCTAAGTGGCAGGAGTGGATCTGTACTGTTGGGTGCAGAGGCCCTCTATGTCATCTTCTTATTAAGTCAATGCCCAAAATGGCCATCAGCCCACAGGAACAGAGCTCACCAGCCCCACTCTGGTTCCCATTGGGCCAGGCTCTGTGGGTACCTGCATCACTTTCCCATCCTTGCCCGGTACAGTGTGTACAGTTGGTAGGCTCTGAACTCGTGGGGCGGGGGCGGGGAGGAGCCCCGGTGCCTGCTCTTCTTTCTGGGGTGGTGATGAGCGTGCAAGTTCTTCTGGTGTCCAGGCTGCTGGTCTACCGGAGGGGTGGGGTCAGACAAGGCTGACACCTGTGGGGTAGGAAGAGGCGACACCCTTGAGTCCTGCCACATCTACGAGAGTGACACCAGCCAATGGCTCCATCTCCCCCACTTTTGGGCATACAACACCACCTGGCTTCACCTCATGGTATTTGACTTGGTAACATATGTCAAAAGAAGAAACACATTGGCATGCTCACCTGGTCTGAAGTCAGTGAGATTTCATTTCTATGCTCTGGCTCCAAAACAGCTAGAGAAGTGAGGTGGCTTCTTAGCTGCTGGCCACAAGAGTTCCAGGACCCTGCACCAACCTGCCTCCCAGTCACCCCACCACTGCTTAATGTGCTTCCTCACCTTGGGTCTCGACTTTCTTCTCCTGTTATCCTTTGCTCTGGGCTCTGGGGAGGCTGACAGGAAATCTTCTCCAGCCTCTTCTTTTCTGAGCACAGCCTGCTCACTGCTGGGGGTGTCTCTGGCTGAGCCACTTCCCTGCAGAGGAAAAAGCCAGAAGCCTGTTCTACCTACACCTGGGCCTCTGTCACCAAGATTCCATCCAGTAAGAGGTCCCTGGTAATCTTTGCCAATGACATAAATTTCACACACACACACACACACACACACAACACTGCTTGGTGGTTTTAATGGAACATATACTACTTTCCATGATTGGTTGAATAGCTGGTTTTTATTTTATCTGATAGGTCCCTAATGAAATCTAATCATGAGTCCAAAACTATGTTCTAGATCTCCAGGACCCCTGCATACACAAAAAACATTTGAGGTTTTTGGGTCTTTTGCATTTCAACAAAATATAACCCCACTCATTCTGTGAAATTGGACCCGCCGCCATTTATGGCAGAGAGGGAATACTCTGAAAAATGGAAAATGCCATTTTTCTGACCTTTGTGAGATTCTTTGTAACTTGATATGCATAATTCATGAGTAGAAACTAAGAGTCATAATGCCTTAACCCTGGAAACCGATGAGAGGATTTTGAAACAGCGCAGAGAACAAGTCCTTGGTGATACCATTTTATGTGTCTAAGAGACCTAAAAGGGCTGCCAGGTACAGCTGTGCAATCAATCTGTTCACTGCACCAGGGTACCCAGCTGAGGGTGGAAAAAGGAGGGCTGAAATCTGTTCACCATGTGCCTCCTGTACAGGGCAGGTGTGCCCTGGGTTCATCTTATTCTGATTTGCACACAGAAGCCAGATGGGACAGCAAAGCCTTGGTCCATTCTCTAAGTGGAAATGGAGGAGCAGCCTGTGCCAGTAGCTCCATCAGAACCACCTGGAGGACTTGTTCAAATGCAGACTGTGGGGCCCCACACCATTCGAATCAGAGGATCTGAGGTGAAGCCTGGGAACCTGCATTCCTAACAAGGCCCCACGTGACACGTGGACACCACACTTGGAGAACTGCTGCTCTGTAAAATTACAGCATGGTGTCTGGTGGGACAAGGCCATATTACACAGGGCTGGTAAATCCCCACATGAGGGTGCTGGATGGCTGGCGGGCAATACATACATATGGAGGCACAGGAACTGGATGGAGTCTTAGAGGAGCAGAGGGCATGAAGCCAAAAGGAGAAAGAACTCTAGGGTGAAGGACAGCCAGAAGACCCGACAGCCACCAGTGAGCCCAGCAGGAGCAGGGGTATAGCAAGCAGACAGGCAGGCCAGGAGGGAGGACCTCACACCTTGCTCTGTGCCACCTCATCTCTGGGCACGGACTGGGCCCTCCTTCCTTGCTTGAGCTTCTCTCTCCTCTTCCGCAGGCTTCGCCCACGACTGAAGCGCAAGACCTGACAGAGACAAAGGCATCGTTACAGAAGGCCAGTGTACAGCACTGACCTGGCATTGCGACCCAGGGGGACCTGCAGCCTAAGACGAGACACCATGCATCCACATAAAATAAGCAACTCTGCACTTACAATGCAAGCACTACAGGGACACAAAGATAGGTAAGATATTTTCCTGAACTCAAGAAGTTTAGATTCTATGAAGATGACAGTTGGCCCAGCATAGCCAAGGATGTATGCCCTGGCTGCACACTGCGTAACTCCAGGGAGCACCACTCACATCCACTAGGAGATGAATGGCGTCCCTGGAGTTGTGCCATGGGGCAGCCCTATACCAGGCACAGCCTCATTCTCTACTTTGGGACACTAGATCTAAACTAGCACATCAGACTTTCGCTTGGTCAAACTGTGTCCAAATCATATTTGATTCAAACACCACTGAGGTTCATCTATGATTCATCATACTAACTGTGGCTTCCAAAAAGAAGTATTTAGTAGGTCCCTGGTAGAAAGGAAACAAATAAGGACATAGAAGCAGCTGAAGGGTCTTTAGGAAAATGATTCTGCCCTCTGTGCTGTCTCCCCTAACATAAAGACAGAGACAAGAAGGAAGCTAGCACACAGCGGACCCTCAGTCACTGCCAGGAGCCTCCCTTCCTGCCTTACACTTGCTCAATAGGCAGAGGATGTTTAACCACAGAGTATGGATATTTGAGCTGCTGGAAACCTGCAACCTCTAGTCCACAGTATTTAAGAATGTAAAAGAGTCCTGAGACCAAAAACTCTAAGAACTGGGCTGGGGGTGTAGCTCAGTGGTAAAGTGCTCACCTAGCATGTGCAAGCCTGGGTTCCATCCTAGCAATGAAAGAAACAAAAAGGCTTGAGAATTACATCCCTAAACATTTTCTAATGCTCCATTTGGATTCACTAGGAAGTCAAGTCTGATAAAGTGACAAGTTCTGACCATCCACATGCTCTGTGGACTCTTAGAATAGGGCACAGCATCAAAATCAGCCAGAGACTCCCTTCTAAGCACTTGTGAACCACATAAATCAAATATGACAAGTGACAATGGGAGGCCACCCAAACCCCAAGTAATCATTGACAAAATTCTCTCCACTTACCATGCTACTAGCCAGTGAAAATAACTGCACAGTTTACAGCCTTTCTCAGTGAACCATACCATGTACCAGATGTAATGCCATTAATCTTTTCCAGTCCACAGAAATCAGGCAATATTGATTTTCAGGCCTCAGAAAGAAGTATCCTCTTACTACCACTGTGGCCCAATAAATCCATGGCCCACTAAGGGGCTAAAAGCAGAGGATTTCTCTTTGCAGATGAAACAAGAAATAAGACTGTTTCTATAACTACAAATCAACACAACCCTATGCATAAAATCTTATGCATATTTTAAAGTAGAGGATAAGGTTTAGCATATACAACTGTATGTGAAATAGATTTCCATGCCATCCAGCTCATTTGAGACTCAATATGGGTGTGGAAAAACTGAAGTCATGTTTAAATGAAAACACAAAATGGGAGAGGCACAGGGAAACAGGAAAGCTTTTTTTCCCTATAAAGTCCTTGGACTTTGGGAGACAAACAACAGGCAGAGTTAAGATGCATCAGTCTTCCTGTGCCTGGGGAATTCTCCAGTCCCACAAGATCTGATGATCTTTGTATGGCCAAGGAGGGGCCTGGCTGTCTATCAAGTTGCCAAATGCTAAAATCCCAGATAAATGAGATAGATTCTGACATTTATGTAGCACCCTGAACTTGTGATCCATGAGAGACCAGCATTCTTCTATCAGGATTCATGGATGTGATTCCACTGATGATGCTTTTCAAAAAGCTGAGGGATGTGGGACACTCCACTCCTGCAGCTTCCCACACTGATTCCCTCCCATCAAGAGTAGACAGGTTTCCAGAGACCAGTGAGAAGGACCAGCTCTACGCTCAAGAGGGTGATCAAGTTTGGAAAGACAAAAAAAAAAAAATAGTTCTGGAAACTGCTATCATATTAGGTGGTAAGTTTTTAAAATTTAAATGAAATGAAGATCATGCAAACCCCTGGGCTAGTTTGGTACCGAGCAGGGTGGTGTTTAGAATCTTTTCACTCCATGATACTGGCTTCTTCTTGCAACATTAGGCAGAATAAGATGGAAAACAATCAGTGTTTGCTATAATGTAATACAGAATAGCTCTGATCTGGAAATAACCTAAAGTCCAACATTAAAGAAATGACTTAAAATACTGAAAGCAATAAAAAGATATACTTTCATTATAGTGAATAATTATGAAGGCTGCAGGACATTATCCTATGATAGCTAGATAAAAGGCAGAATATAAAGGGTGTATAAAATATAGACCCAATTATTTAAAAAAAAAACTGTGTATCTGTGGAAGATAAAATAAAGAAACAAAGGCAGTTACTTCAGGGTTTATAAATTATATTAAATGTCTTTTTTTTTTTTTTTTTTGCGGTACTGGGGTTTGAACTCAGGGCCTTCACCTTGAGTCACTCCACCAGCTTTTTTTTGTAATGGATTTTTTTAAGATAGGGTCTCATAAACTATTTGCTGAGGTTGGCTTCGAACCATGATCCTCCTGGTCTCTGCTTCCTGAGTAGGTAGGATTACAGGTGTCAGCCACCAGCACCTGGCTATTAAATGTCTTTATTGTTGCTTCGATAATGTCAACCTCAATTCAAATAATGGCATCAGCCATCTTTTTTAATGAAGGCTAAACTACCATTATTCAATAAAAAAGGAAAGCAAGTACTTAACTGCCTCTGGTGAATGTTCACTGCTCTGTGTGCCCAGAAAGGCCCCTGTCCCCCACCTTCTTCTGGAAAATGCTCCGAACCTTTTTGAAGGCCCTGTCCACTTGTTCAGGAGAGGATTTGCCCCACTCTCTGTAATCACAGTCCTCTCCCACAGTGTTTAAACTGGAGCTTCTTCCCTAGCTGTGTAGCTGGGAAGTTGTGGTCTGGGAGTTGGTAGTGACAAGGATCTGCTGTCAGGGAGAAAATGACACCCATGTATAGAGTGAGGACTTATAAGTCTCTGGTTCCAGTCATCCAGGAGGCCCTCACCAATTCCTGCATTTTCCACTGCCCAGCTAGTAAGCCTATCCATTTCCTACTTAGTTTCAATTGGCTTTGATAATCACAACCTCAAGAACCTCATTGATTTTGTAGCCCCATGTAAAGGTACAATGGAAAAGCAGTAAATCCTACCTGGGGAGCTTTAGTGAGGAGCAGAGCCACTTCTGGGTTATTGTGGTAGCGAGCAGTCTCCAGTGGGGTCTGGCCTACCTGAGGAAAGGCAGACGGAGGACAGGTGAGAAAGGGACACCAGGGGCAGGCACTTCTGCATTGGGTCACACCCAGCACCTGCATGTGCTCAGCCCCATAGGAGGTGCTGCTCCTCTCCTCAACCCTGTCCCATACACTGAGGGAGCAAGTCACCCCTGGGCACGCATAGGTTAACACTTCTCGGAAATGAGTGCTTTAGGAGGCAAAGGTCTGGGCACTGCCTATCAAGGAATGCTTCCTGGAAAAAGACAGGAAAAGGTCAAGAAAGAGCATTTCTGTTGAAGAAACAAGAGAAAGAATCATTAAATCCTCCTAGCAATGAATTTTCCCTGGAGAGCAGGGGGCAAGACGCCTGGAGGGGCAGCCATAGAGTTTCAGGACTTGGACTGTGAAAACAGAAGCTATAGTCGTAATGTAGGCTAAGGAGAGTAAGTCAAAACCCAGGAACAGATAACAGTGGGATTCAAAAGGAAGGGGAAGGTATGCTAGGCATCACGGGAGAAGTGACTGTACCACCCAGGGAATGTTCTAGGGCTATCTAGAGAAGGCAGGAGGAGAATGAGCGCTAGGTACAGAGCCTTTTGCCTGCTTCGACACATCTGAATCCTACACAACAGTTCTGCCCCAGGCCCCTCTGAGCCTTTTGGAGGCACTGACTACTAGTCAGCCTGGAGGAAGAAGGGAATCTGGGCTGGTGCCTGCTGTGGAATCTGGAGGAGGGGAGGGGAACATGACAGAGAAGGAAAGAGTGAGGTGAGACAATCTGGGAGGAGCTGGAGTTAGTTTGATGGCTATGAGTACATTTTTCTGAGGACCATGTGTGTTCACAGGTCTGGAAAGTCACTTTTGGATCACCCACTTACCAGTTTAGACAACTTTGAGCTTCCTTTTCCTGCCAGGTTGTGCTCATTGTAGCTAGGTCTCTAAAAGGGGGCTGCCAAGGTTTGTCAACTCCTGTGGCTGCTTAAAGCTAGGGTTCCCTCAAGTCTGCCCTGAGAGGTGTGGCTTCAGCTGAGCTTGTTGTATCCTTGGGGCTTGCAGGGGGTTAGGTGGTAACAACACATCCCATCCCAGAAGTGAGTGAGAAACCCTTGAAGCCACTGTTGCAACTCAACTTACATTATTCACAATGGTCCCATCTGCTCCAGCTTCTAATAAGATTTTAACCACCTTCTTGTGGTTTAGGGCAGCGGCAACATGAAGGGCTGTGTCTCCAGCCTGAAATCAATCAGAAAAAAGCCTAAACCCATCTGATCCTGGCCTCAGCTCCGGCTTTTCATCCCCAGTGTTGGGTACTCTCCAGTCAAGAGACTGGAGACATGACATGAGGCCCGACATGACATGAGGCCCTCTGTTAAATTGCTGTGTGATGCTATTTAGAGATCTTAGAACTAACTGACACTATACCCAGATCATGTTCCTTTCTGACTGGGTGGGGAGGGGGAGGGGAGGGGATCCAAAAGCCACAGAACAGGATTAAATGCAAAGGCAAAGCCAGTCCTGGGCTAGGGTGCTAAGAATGGTGGGGCCCCAAGTGTCACTGAAACAGGATGATGGGCAGGAAGCCTAGGACAGGCAGCCTTGCCTTCCTAGAGGTATGGACACTGCCCCTGCCCCGGGAAGTCAGACGTCAGAGAACCACCTGGGTTCTGAGTGCAAGAACAGGAGGTAACAACCCAGTCCACAGCCAAGTGGTGGATCTAAAGTTGCTGCTGGGACTCGGCCTCTCTGCAGGCTCTTGCATTCTTTGGGTCTACACCCAAAGCCAGTGTTCGTGTAAGACAAGCTGCTTTCTACCTCTTACCATACAGCTAGTCAGAAAATTTTCGTTATACAAAAAGTGTTTTCAGACAATCAACTCTGAAAGGTTAAAGACAACTATAGCTTAGCAGGCCGATTCCAAATGTAAATGCTGTCATTCTCCAAGGAGAATGTTATAAGTGAACTAAATAGAGTGATATAATTCATTCCCTCTCCTGCCAGGGGCCCAGGCAGACAGCCTTCACATTGATATGAAAATTCAATGCTCTCTGAGCAATGGCAAAAATATTTATTTCATTTCTTAGTTGTGTGTTAGGGGAAAAGTTCTGAGGAAGTGTTTTCCATTCCTGGCTCATACTAGAATCCACTGGAAACCTTTTAAAAAACACTGATGCCAGGGTCCCCCTCTCAGACCTGATTCCACTAGTCTGTAGTGTGGGCTGGGCATGAGATTGTTAAAGCGCTAGGTGAGTGTCACATGCCATCATGTGACACCCTGGAGAAACCCTGGAGGGTGGGTATGGAGGAGTAACCTGGTTAATTGGAATCCACTGGGGAATCTGCGTGACCGACTTAGCTGTTTTATTTTTTAGGTCAGTAGTTCTCAACCTGGTTGAACATGCAGACAGGGAGCTTTTAGAAAATACTATGGCTTGGCCCTCAAGCTCAGGGGTTATGGTTCTTTTAAACTGCGGTGGGACCCATGAATGGTATTTTTAATTCTGCTGTTGATTTTCATATGCAGCCAGGTTTATAGAGTATATTTAATTTGAACCACAATCTAACTTTTTTAAATTTCAGATTTATGCATCCGAACTCAGAAAAGTTAAACAATGCTTCATTTAGGTATCACAAAATATCTCAACAATCTACTTCTTCTATCCAAAGGACTACTGGATAGCACACGTTTCCAAAGAAGACTGGATGCAGCTTCATTTGAAAACCCCCTATATGGACAGATACAGATCATGTACCCAGTTTTACAGATGTAAGAGACTCCAGCAGCTCAAATAAAAGAGCAAGTGGCAACACGGGGAACAGAACTCAGGTAGTCAGGAGACACCCAACTCCCTTGCTGCGCTACTAAGCCACATTCCTCCTTGTTGCTTACTTGACATCATGTCATAAACAAAACCTGCCCTAGGAGCTCCAAAAACTGTTCAAAATGCAAATGTGGTGATATGCACAGAAATGATCAGGGATAGGAGGCCAGATAAGGGAGGGACACTGGAACTCTGTGGGACACCCATGCAGAGACCAGCACTGGTGGAGTCCCAGATGGTCAGAGGGCAGCAGCTCTCCTCAGCCTCTGTTCCTGTCCACTCTAATACACCCGCTGGGTAGCCATGGGGAAGGGTGCTGGTGGGCATGACGAGATACATGCACTGACCTGGTTCTTTTCATGGACTGAACAGAAAGCACTGAGGAGCAGCCTAATGATGGACAAGTGATTATAGCGCACAGCAACGTGCAAACAGGTGTCGCCTGCCTGCGGACAAAAATCAAACTCTAAGCACAGTCAGAAATGACAAAGCATAACAGAAAAACAAAGAGAAAGTATAATTTAAAAGCTGGCAGACTACTGAATATTCTTTAGGGACATAAACATGCATTACAAACAAGTTTTTTAACCTAGATGTTCCACTCCAAGGCTTGCTGTCCTGTGCCCTGTTGCCGTGCTCTGCACTCTTGCTACTGTGCAGAACAACTGTGTGGGTGTACCAGAACCTCTACTTTCATGCTTATGGAACTAGATGCCTGCTCCCCACAAGACCTTCAGAATTGCTAAAGCAGTTGATTTAAAAAAAAAAAACCCTCCTCCCCCAACCCAACTCAAAGGGTCTGAACCAAGCAGAATTAAGATCAACATCATAACATTGCTTTGGAAATGAGCATTTCCCAACACAGACTCATCATAGCTGGTAGGACCCTAATCTCCCCCATGGAGCAATGTGGCCTAGGGAACTCATGAGCAAGCTGAGAGCAAAAGAAGGGCATTCAGAAACTCAGGATCCTTCTTAGTGGACACAGACCAAGCTCTGCTGCCAAAGAGACAACAAATGTGGAGACAGTTGTGATGTTCTGCACTGCAGAAGAACAGCAACCACTCAGCATGTCTCCCCTGGAGTAAGAAAGAGCCAAGCTCAAGGCTGAGGTTCAGAGCATTCTAGAATTGCTTTAGGTGAGATTGTCCCCATATAGGGAAGATCTTGGCAATTTTTGAGAGAAGCCAATGATTCTCTTGCAATTGTGACTCCTGCCAAAGTGTCTACAGGAAAGACAGCATCTTTATGGAGGGAGGATTGATACAGGACCTTTTAGGTCAGGCATCCTCAGTTCACTGGAAGGACACTTCAGTCATCAATGGAATTGTCCTCTGAAGATGCTGAGAGGGGAGCATCACAGGACCTTCCCCATATGGTATTGTCCCATATATGCTGATCCCACAATGGTATTGCCCCATATGTGCTAGTAATAATGCAACACTGTATATGGATAAACTTTCTTAAAATGTTTACAGGCTTCCTAGCCTGCCCTGGTCAGACATGTGCTAGAAGAAATGATAAAATGAACTGAAGTTGAAGAGCAAAGGAAGAAGGGGGAAAAGGCAGTACTTTCAAGACTTTTCATTCCTCATCTCCTTGCCTAAATGACCCCTCAGGAAATTAGTGATAAAAAGAATAATTTAGAGACAGAGCCCAAATTCTTTTTGACATTTTCATTCCTAGATGTTAATATGGAAGTATGCTGTGGGGATCATCTTCCAAGATGACACAAACAAGAGAGCACAAAGAAGCCGGTTCTGTTCACCCACGTTATTTTTGAGGTCAGCGCGGGAGCCACCCAGCAGGAGGACTCGTGTGCTCTGGGAATGGCTGTTCTGGCAGGCCAGGTGCAGGGCTGTGTTCCCTGCCTTGGAGAGAGGCAGAGAGAAGGACACATTAGCAACATGCTTCTACACAGACCTGTATGCCTGGGAGGAGGGGATACTTACTCCGGGAGGAAGAGTCAGAGCTCACACAGCCTTCTGATGGAGTCCAAGGGGTGCTCCAAAGTATGCAATCCAAACAGGCCCAAGAGTCCTATCTACCATAAAACCCTGCTCCCAGCCCTGGCTCTGCCACCTACTGGATAAAAGTCACTGAGCAATGCTCAGCCTTGGCTTCCTTACCAGGACAAGGGAGAGTGAGCCCTGTCTTCTGAGGCCGTGAAGGATCAATTCAGGGCCCCGTGGAAGGCATTTTCTGAACGATGAAATGCTGTACACTAGCTCAGCTCAGCATCCCTCTTGGACAGGACATGGGCAGAAGCTGTGACTACAGTGAGTTCTCAGTGCTAGCATAAAGAAAGCCACACAGAGCACTTCCTGGAAGTACAGGCTGACAGTAACTGACTTAACCTATACGCCTTTATCAAATTATCCATTCTTGGACTTGTCCTGAAACATCAAAAATTGACCTGTGATTAGGCATCCCATGTAACAGGAACTACAGCTGCATCTGTGGCTTGCCACATAGAGAAAAATCCTCTTGCTTTCTTTACGCTGTACCTTCAACATGCCACCTCACAATGACAACCAAGGATCAGGAACCCATTTTTGGTTCTATGGGAATAGGTTGTGCAAGGTGGCTGGTAACCCTAGAAAAGTAACACAGAAAGCAGGCAGTGTAATGGGAAACTTGGACTCAGAAGGTCAAATCTACAAGTCCAGGGTTTGTCCTGTTGGACTCAAGAGCTGGGCCAGGCCTGCAGTGATATAGGCACACAGCTATCACACTGACTGCTTCTTGCATTTTCCTCCCCTCGCTTACTTCCTCGGATCTCACAGCACTGCCTGCCGAAACTCCAGGATATTAGATTCTTGACTTTATGAAAAGAGGAATGAGGAATAAACATATCAATGAAAATTGAATCACCAGTGCCCTTACTGCCCCTCTCATCATAACCTTAGCTGTAGCCGGCCTGTTGGATCTTTTCTTTGCTTCCTGCAGGAATGTAGGATTGGAAGACTATAGCCTGAGGACTCGGTAAGCTCATTGGTTCTCAACTCTGGGCTGGACATGACAATCATGGGAGGGGGCGGTTCCAGACCTCCCAATGCACAGCTGCAGCTCTCCTGGGGACCCTGATTTACTTGGTCTAGCAGGTCCCAGTTTTAGCATTGAAAGTCTCACATTCTGGGAAACTTCCCAGTCAACAGCAAACTGGGATAGTCACTCACCCTAGGCTGAGTCATCAAGCCTGGCTTGGATTTTTTTTTTTCCCCTTATTTATTTGGTTTAAAATTCCCCAGGAAAGTCCAGAAAGGGAACCACTGCTAGCTTAGTTCTTAGCAATGAAGGATCTACCCACATTTTATCTACTCCCACTTGTCTCCAAGTTGATGGCTTTGAGACCATAGCTAAATATGCACTGAATAAATGAGTGAAATAAAAGAAATACGATGGTTCTACAAATGTAACACATCAGAATTTACTTCATCAGGAAGAAAATATCAAATATGTAGAAATAATTTGGATCAAGAAAAGTAAATCCCTTCTGTTTGGATAAAAAACTTGTTGTGTATCATTGATAGACTATTATGCAGCACAAAAATAAAAGGATTGAACGCGTCATCCATGGAAGAATCTCAACACGTGATGTTATGTGAAAGAAGCCAGCACAAAAGGTTGCATAGGACATGATTCCATTTGTATGGCATTTTCAAAAAGGCAAACAGATCTGTGATTGCCAGGGGCTAGGAGGAGGTCACTGAAGGATTCTCAACAAAGGGAACAAAGGAACATGGGTGACAGGAACATTCTATTGTCTTGTGGTAGTGATTATAGGACTGTATACATTTGTCAAAAGTCATAAAACAATACGCTTTCATACCTAAAAAAAAAGTACTTTATACATGTAAATTCTACGTCAAAACCTGACATTTAAAAATGTGACCTACACTGGCAGAGTGGCTCCAGTGGTAGAGTGCCTGCCTAGCATGTGCACGATCCTGAGTTCAAACACCAAGACCACCAGTAAAACAACAACAACAAAAAACAAATACAATAAAAATGTAACCTACAATAGATAGGTGTAATAGGTTATTCTTTTTGCCACCTTAAGCAATGGGTACTCATTTCCCACACAGGGGCTGCTATATTTGCTAAATAAGAAGGAGGATCTTTCTAGAAGCTTTCCAAGAGGCTGGCTGTATAAAAAGTCTTCTGGGATGGCACAAGTCACCTTACCAGTGCTTCTAAATCTTAGTCACTGTCTAAAGAGAGAACTTCTGGCTTTCCATAATGCTCTTGGGGCCCTCCTTAGGATAGGAGGCAGTGTGTTGGAATAGGTAGACCCAGACTAGCTGATGGCCTAAATGTGTCACAAGCGATACCTATGTCATACACTGGCTCCCAGCTCAAACTTACTTATCCATGAACTGGGATGTCCAGGAATGGGTGTAAAAAGAAAATGTGATTATTTATCAATCCATGTTCAGACCACGCACCACCTCAAAAAACTAGTAAGCCACCAGCCTGCCAAGCGGTGAGGCCAGCATCACTGGTGATGTTGCCAGGCACAGCCTGATTCTTTCCTTCAAGCTTTTGACTCATATGGGAACCATGAGAAACATTTGACCAGTCAATGGAAGTACAGAGCTGTGTGCAGTGCCAAGGGAAAGCCGCAGGCAGCCTTGTGAACCATCTAGGAGGGAGGCTGAGGCCTGGGTTGGAGAGCAAAGGCAAGGAAGGGCAGGAGTGCAGGAAAGAGAGACAGGAACCACTCTGACAGTGCAGAGGATGCATGCTGGGGAAGGTAATGGAAAGGAGGAGGCCCAGAGCTTCACCGGAAGGTTTCTGAGTTGAAGAGCAGGATAGAGGCACTAGATTCGAGCTACTCAAATGGCTTTGAGGCTTCTAAAATAATCCAGAAGTCTTAAAATGAGTGTGGAAGGAGAGGGACAAATAGGAGATATGAGGAAAATGTCCTAAGATGTGAAGAGTGGTAGGAGAGGGAGATAGATGAAAACAAGGGAAATGCATGAGGAGGGACGGTTATTCTGTTCCTGTGTCCATGAGGACAGGGGTGGCTTGCTGTACCACACTCTAATCAGGCAATGGAACAGCAGTTAGGGCCAGATTTCAAAGGTCAAAGCCACTGATGCAGGCTTGTCATTCCTCATGAAGATGACATTCACCGAGATGTTTCCAGCTTTCATTTTTATGTCCTGCAGCAGGTACGGCCCAGAGAAGTCACAACTATGGAGAAGTCCATTTCTGATAGGTTGGTTAATATTATTAGAGCTCACTCTTGATATTGGTGTTCAATATCTTGCATAGAGATGTATGTCTTACACTAGAGATATTCAGTTTCAGATCTTGCTGTGCTGTGAAGCTGTACATATACTGTGTGTGTATGTTTTAGGAAGGGTACTTAATGCTGCCCATGGTACCCAGACTGCTGTCACCCAAACCCCACTCTAGCACAGCAACTTCAATACTCCACTACCACCCATGGCTACCATCCAATGACTCCAGATGTGCATTGTGGTAAGTCCTCGACTCCTAACACTTTAACACTTGCCACAGACCCAGCCTGGCCTTCTAAAGACAGAAAAGACAACATGCCCTTTTAGAACCCCTTCTCACCACGACTGCCAAACCCCAGGAATATGGATAATGCTTTTTTTTATTTTTAAAAGAAAATATGCCTCTTCTTCCAACTGTGAAGGAAATAATCAGTTCAGCTTGGGAACTTTGGCAAGGGCAAAAAGCAAAAACAAAAACAAAAATCAGTCCTCAATTTCCTTACATAACCACTGTTCATATACTGATGACATCCTTCCAGGTTTATATATGAATTTACATTGGGCACTGAGACATGTCTGTATGATTTTGAACCCCTCTGTCATGCTCTTTTGCAATGCAAGGGCATTAACTTCAAAACTATGGTGTTAATTATATTAATCATATTCATTATAATGATGAATAAAAATTTTAAATCCCTCTCCCCACATTTTTTATATTTTAATTAATGTTGTCATAAACATCCTTGAGAGTAATTTTTACCAGTCTATTTTATTGCCTTTTGTTTTTTAGAAGGGAATCCTAGGAGTGTAGCTACAGGGTACAAATATAGAACTTTTTTAGGGGAATGTACTAGAGATCAAACTGGGGCACTCATGCAGACTATGCAGATGTTCTACCACTGAGCTACATCCTATCCTCAGTCTGAAAGAACCATTTTTAAGGTTACTGTTTTGCCAAGTTGCCTCCCAAGGGTGGCTGTTCCCATCATGCCTCCCCAGTAGTATCTGAGTGAACACTCTTGCTACTGTTGGACATTAGTATTTTAAGGTTCTTCACTGGTATTTTTCATGCCAACTCTCTGTTGCTATACTTGTACAATAGTGTCAAGTGATGAGAACATAATCTGATGTAGGTTCCCAGCAGCAGTCAGGGGGCTTCTCCCATCAGGAGGGTTTCAGCACTGTTGGTGGGCATGGTCCTGGCCAGACATGGATCTACTTCTGTCTTTCTCTTCAAATGACCCTTGTGGATGGGACTGGCCCTGGAGGGTCTACGTTCCCCTCTGAGCAATCTCTGCTCACTGAGAGGAGACTCTTGCAGGGAAGAAGACCCACAGTCATCCCTCACCTGGGAATGAGGAGTTCTAGCACCTGCCGGGCCTCACCTTGTTCCTGGCAAGCACGTTGGCTCCTGCTTTAATGAGCAGCTTAGCTGACTGGCTGAAACCATGCCAGGAGGCTTCATGCAGGGCTGTATTCCCGTCCTAAGGAACACAGAGGGAGAAGTCGCGTTACCCAAGGCCTAATTCTTGTCATTATGGTCAACATGGCATGATGATTTTGTTTTGTTTTTTGGTGGCACTGGGGCTTACACTTGCTAGGCAAGCGCTCCACCATTTGAGCCACACTCCCAGCCTTTTTTGCTTTAGTTATTTTTAGAATATAGAATAGAGTCTTGTACTTTTGCCTGGGCTAGCCTGGACCATATCCTCTTATTTATGCCTCTAGCATAGTTGGGATGACAGGTGTACACCATCATGCCCAGCATTTTTTATTGGTTGAGATGAGATCTTGCCAACTTTTTGCTAGGGCTGACCTCGAACCATGATTCTCCTTATCTCTACATCCCAAGTCACTGAGGTTACAGGCCTGAGCCACCGTGTTCAGTTAGGATAGATTTTTATAGTATACATAGGGCCTTCCTCAACTGGGGTTTCTCATCTGAACCACAGAACAAATACAAAAGTGATTGGAGTGGTCAGTGTCTCCGTTCTGCCAGAAATACATAAGAGCCAGCCTAGACGTGTAGAGACACAAAGGCATGACGGCTCAGGTCTCTCTGGGAAGCCCCTGTTGAGAAAGGCCTTAGAACCCTACAGTGTCTGTCTAATGGCAAGGCACATTATTGAGAGGCCATTTTCCATTACTTCCCATCTCCACTGCCCCTCGGAGTCCACTCTTCCTGACACCAGAGAGAATGCTGCAAAGATGGGGAAAGAAGAGTTCAACTTCTTAAGTTCCAGGGGCCTGATTGGTAGGTTCCTGATTTTTTCCCCAAAATTTAATGTCCTGCAGCTTATTCTAAACACTTTAGGACCCTAAACAAATGGGCAGGTACCAAGGAAACAGTGATGTGTAAACAAGATAAACAACTGTCCTCAAGTGGCTTTAAGATGAAAACCGTCTAATAAACATGGCTTATACATGTTTGACTCATATTTTTATGAAAAAGTAAGAAATAGTACAAAGTGCAGTGAAGCAAGGGGGGTAGGGTTGGGAGGGCAGGTGTTACAGGGATGGAAAGCATGGAGGGACAGGTTCCAGGCCAGGGTGCTCAGCAGGACCAGTGCAGACACATTCTCTATGTTCAGACTATGGCTTCGACTTCCACTCAGACACACTTGTGCCTCTAGAAACATGTGGAAATGTGTACCAAAGAGACAACACCTAATTCAACTGACACCCACAAGACGAAGTCTAGGGCCCAAAGGCCAGGGATGTGAGGCCAGGCTAGGGGGCCAACTATATAAGCAGAAGCAAGAGGAGAGAAGGGAAGTGACAGGGAGGGGTCTTCCAGATGCTGTGAAGGAGTGGCCTCTTGATTTGGGCGTCCACTCAGGTGTGCTCAGGTATGAGCCTCACAAGCAGCGAGTCTTACAATTTGTGTGCTTTTCTGCGCACAAAATGAAAAGTTGTTAGATGAAAAGCAGCAAACACCGAATTACACTTAATTGCAAAATCCCACACTTTTCTGCATGTATTCTATACTTAAATGAAATGTTTTTAGGGGGAAAAAAGTAAGCAGAGGCAAAATCACACGTAATTGCAAAATTCCTTATTTTAAGATTATTTGACAATTTAAAAACATTGGGTTAACATATGCCATTAGGATTCTTAAAGAAAGAACTGATTTGGCTTCTTTTTTTTTCTTCCAATAGTTTAAAGAAATTAAGTTGCTTCCTTATCCAAAAAGCAAAAGTAAACAGAATGTCTGAGATCATAGCCCCACCCACTCTGGGCCTCTGCAGGCCATGATATCTACATTTTTTTCCCTTTACCACTTGGGTTCATTTGGTTGTCACTGGTGCCACAGAATGGAAGGACAGAGTTTAAAATAGATACAACTGGCTGGGGCTCTTTTAGGAGGAGCTGTGGGCTGATCTGTGTTGAATCACAGTGGTAAGATAGGAATAACATGCTGAGTACTCAAAAGTGGCCAAAGAGCACTCCTCCAGCCCCACAAACCCCTGCAACTGTCGCCTGGGGATTGAGAGCTGACAGGCCCTGCTTCACCTTATCTTGTCTGTCCAGAGCACAACCCTCTTGGATGAGCGCCGTGATGATCTCAGTGTTCCCCACCACCGTGGCCCGATGCAAGGCGGTCTGGTCCCCCTGCAAAGTTACACAGAAGCAGAAATCAGCTTTCCCCAACACCCCACAAATTCCTCCACTCAGACACCAGGGAATCTCCTATCCCCACACAGAGCAGACTGGTTACTTGCAAAAGGGTTTGGTCACCACAGGCAAGGCAAGCTATGTGGTCCTGTTAGTAGAGAGTGCATACTGACAGAGCAATTTTGTTCACAAACTCCAGGACATCTTAGGTCTATAGCAAGAATCAAACTCACTGGCCTCAGATCAAGCTCAGAATGAGGATCAGGCCTCCTCCTATTACCCAGAGGGATGTGGCAGTAACATGTATGAAGAACCGGGCTGTGTGTGCTATGCAGTTGAACCTGTATGTGATGCCAGCAGTCTTTACTTCCCACAACAGTCCTGGTTCATTGGGGAATCAATCACTCTCCAGCTGAGTCAGTTAGTCGCACTCATGCTTTGATGCCAGGTGTATATTTTGTTCACTGATTTGGACTTGCCAAGAGCAACACAGGGGTTTGCTGTGCTTCATCTGAGGACTCAGAGACTGCAGCCTATTCCTGCATATGTCTAAGAAGCTTCTTTGGTTATTTTCTGACAATATCCTCACTGATTTATGCTGTTCTAACCCTTTTCTTTGTGATCAGATTCATGGGATTGCTGAATCAATTTCTCCTTCAGGCACCAAAGGGAACTTGAAGCTTTCCCCTAATTACAGAGGGGAGAAGGGCTAACACTCCCAGGGGTAAGAAGGTCACGACTACAATGACAGTGTTTGAGTCTTTAAGAGCATATTTTATCTGACACATACTCAGGGAGTCAAGTCGAGGCAAAGCAAGTCCAGCATGTGGTCAGGCTTGGAAATGGAGAAATTTCTGATGGAGAGGAATGAGCACAGAGCCAGGGGATGAGACCTCACTTGTGTATAGCCTTGGGAGAGAACTGTCACCTCCCTGGGCCCCAGGATCTTCACCTAATGATCCCCAAGGTCCCTCCCTTCCTTTTTTGGACTCTATGATTCAGTTGTTAAGATTTATATACATGAATTTTCCTGACAGAGCATGGCAAGACAAAGAACACACTTTGGGGCACCCCTGGCCCTTAGCCCAAGAGACAAGAGAGACTATTAGAAGACAGATAACAATTTTTTTTAAAAAGGGATGCACCACTAAGTATAAGTAGTCTTAATGAAATGCTGATTCCCTGGGAATTATAACAAACAACAATGCACATTAAAGGCATTTAAAAAACAAGCTCTGGAGATGGATGGTGGTGATGGTTGCACAAAAATTAGGAATGTACTTATTGCCACTGAAGTATACTTCAAAATGGTTATGGTGACAAATTTTATGCTACATACGCATTTTATCACAATAAAAAATCCAGTCAATCCTAGTCAAAACTCAAACCTGCTTTCTTTAAATTAAAAAAGTCTCCATCCAGGGCTGGAGGCATGGCTCAAGTGGTAGAGCGCCCGCCCAGCAAGTGCAAGTTCAACCCCCCAGTACTACCAAAAAAACAGTCTTCCTTTAAAAATCCACAGGGGAAGTGAATTTATTTTTTTCCTTATACTTTTTAATATTTCCCAACTTTTTATATTTAACATATATAACTTTGAGCATTAGGAAAAGCTACTAGTTAATAAAGTCTAAGCCATAAGACTACACCACAAATGGACCATCCCCATCTCAGAATCCTTTTTGATAGGTTATTGGTAGGTTTAAGGGACTTCCAGAGTAATGGGGTCAGGACATTCAGCCCCATTACCATGATGGCCATCACCACCCTCTCCCTGGCTTCCTAAGCCTTTTCCCCACTATAAATCAGGTTGAGACTAGGTTTCTTCTTGTCCATTTTCTCAGACCCTGATTAAAAAGGACCCACTTGTTCTGTGTGCCATGCGGTCAAAAGGAAAATGTGACGCTGGACCAGAGGATGCTATTGTTACTCATCTCCAACATCCGTGGAATTATTTTCAGATAAGGGTGCTTGATGGCCAAATAAGTCATCAGAGGAGATATTGCCCAAGTCTTACCTTCCCATTTCCCTATTAGACTGATAATGAATTTTCCCCAAATAAGGCTCAAGTGTGACATATTATTACTAACCTGCTAAGAATGATGATGCTCTGTTTCAACAAGAACTGTGAGATTTCAGGGGAGGACTGAATCAGCCAGATTTCCAATTGTTGGAGGCCTTTTTCATAATTCCACAAATAGTAGGCATCTAGCTAGCACTCCTTGGGCAGATCAGAACCACAATTTACAGGACAAAACCTATCATTCTTTTCTGTGCTCTGCTTGAAGTGTCAGCAACAAATCCCAAGCCTGCAAATCATGTCAGCCATACTTGTGGGACAGAAGCTCATGTGACAGGCATTCCCTGCCAGGACTTGGTCTAACATTTCACCATGTTCAATAACCTACTCACTAAATCATGCGTTGATGCAGCTGTGGGGCCATCCCAGCACCATTATGTGTGCTTGCATGCATCATTAACTTAGTGTATTTGCTCCCTTACAAACAACTTTCCTTTGTGAAACTCTAGTTCAATGAAAGCAGCTAAACCTAACCATTGAGAGTTTCCAGATGGATTATCAAGACTCAAGGACATCTAACTACCTGTGTAAAGCTGCAGGAAGAACCCAAATTGTTGCAAACCAGTTGGCATAGGTGTCCCTCTGAGGAAACCTGACAACTCCATTCATTGTGGAGACTGGTCAGTTGCGTTCATTACCTATCTCCAGTACGCAAGTCCCCTTCCAACTTACTCCTGTCAGACAGAGACATGCTCAGAGCCTGGCTCCTGGCTTCCCAATCACAGAGGCACCACTGTGCAGGCCACACTCAGTTGTACTCCTCTGTAAATGGCTGGACAATTAGCTTTGCTTATACTGGCGGGATGTTTCTAGCGAACTAGGCAATATACTTTCTCTTAAAAACCAGCCACTCTTAAGTTGCCAAAACACGAATGAAAGACTCTGAGAGAGACAAAACTCATAAACAAAGAGCTGCCCCAGCTTGTCACTTTGGAATGACTTTCCCTTAATTCAACACAAACAGCCCAACACCCTGAAACCCTCAGTGAAACAAGATCAGTTACCTACAAATCAACTCTTGGCGCCTACAAAATTTAAAAGTGCTGTAAAACACACACACACACACACCATACACAAGATGTGATCGACATACTAAAGGACCAAAGCAATAACTCTGTCATAATCCTTATTTCTATATGATCTAAGTATCTACTCAGTGAGAATTTACTGATCCCCTACTATGCACCAAGTGTTACGACATCTAATTCTCAAATTCTTTTGATAAGCTTTGCTTAGGATAACTAGCTAATTCCAGCTAGCCTGGCTGGACCAGAATTCAAATAGTCAAGGCTCTTTTGTATCCAGGCCTAGCTTATTCCAACCTGTGAAGCCAATTAACCTTAAAATGGGGCTCAAAGACCAGGGGCCTCTGAGAGGCTGGGGCCTCAATACGCACTCTAAGTGTTTAGCATAGAGCAGGAACACTGTAGACCTATTTGTTGAATAATTAACAGCAAAGAAGGAAAGGGAAAATGCCAGAAGTAGCAGAGCCAGCAACCTTGCAGTCCAGCACTTTGATTTGGAACATACTGACCTGTTTGCAGGACATGAACTGCCAGCTCTCAGTCTTTCTGAGACATGGTTTCTCACTTAAGAGCTTTGGAACTTCTGAGGTCTAAAGTTTTGTTTTGCAATACTTTTATTTCCCTCTCCTATGTGGTAAGACCAGCAAGTATTCCAAAGCCAAGCTTGCAAAGAAACCCCAGTCATGCAAGAGTGGAGTGAGCCCCTCTTTGGGGGAACTACTCTGCCCGGGGGCCAAAGCAGACATGTTGCCAGCTACCCAGAAGTTCAACACAGGTAAGGTGTACAAAGCAGGGTGCTGACCTCTTTTCTCTCTGATCTTCTAGGGCTCTTCCTAGTCTTTCTTCTCTGGTTTCTCTTATTTTTTTCTTCCATCATGCCTTTTACTGCGGCCACAGGGTCCTGGTCTATTTCTGAGGTGGGGGTCATGTGATTGCTCATTGACCAACCAGAGACAGTGTTAGCGCTCCACTGGGAGTTGACAGGACCGGCAGCAAGCGAGACCGAATTTGCTCCTGGAGTTGCATATTCTAAAGAACTGTTTTCCATGAGTAGACATTCGTAATAATCCCACTCTAGGCCACTGGAGGTCATTCTTCAACTAATTCTCAGTCCTTACCATGCCATAAAGCTCAGTATCTGTAGAATATGAAGTTTGTAGTAAATTCTTCATAACATTAACACTCTCTATTTCTACCCACCATCCAAAACAGCTAACTTCTACACTGATTTTTTTCCAATGCGTAATTGCTCAGCTTCTTTTTGGCAGTACTGAGGCTTAAACTCAGGGTTGCGTGCTTGCTAAGCAGGTGCTCTACAACCTGGGTCACTCTCCCAGTACTGGGGCTTGAGCTCAGAGCCATGTGCTTGCTAGGCAGGTGCTCTACCACCTGAGCCACTCTCCCAGCCCATCTCCCAGCTTCTTTAAAGAGCATAAAGAGATTCCTTCCTTGAGTTCTTGCATGTATTTCAAGGTTGACCATCAACAGGTGTGGTAAATGCACAGAAGTCAGCCAAGGACTGTAGACTGATGACTGCATTACCTCAGAACTAGTGAAAGTCAGTTACACTTTCCCCATTTCCAGCTGTTTTTTAGTTTGTTATTGTGTTAAGTTCTGTTGTAGTCTTTTTTAAGTTATGTGGGAGAAGCAAGGTATGCATCATTTGTCTAAGGCAAGGCAAAGATGTAAGAAAACAATTCCAATAAATGAAAGAGGGTCTTATTATCTAGAAGCAGAGCAGGCTTTCCTTCTGCCCATGCATCTTACCTTGGCCACTTTGTGACGACTCTTGCCTGTTTTGCTTCCTACTTTGCCCAAGAGAAAGAGGAGCAGTCGTAGAAAATTAGCATGGGTTTTGCCTCATGAGAACACAGTTATTCTCAGAGCTGAGTATCCAAGCAGGGGGTTGGGTTCGGATGGTTTAGCATGTTTGTCATTGTGGCCTTGCCACAGTGGCAAACCAGGGCTTTAATTATGCAAAGAGAAAACTGGAGGATCTTAACATGTTTGTACGGGGAACACAAGGCCCCAGCTTTCCTGTAGTCAGCCTCTCCTCTCTGTTGCTATATTTTCCTCCTGTCATCTAAGGAGATGATATGGGTGGGGAGTATTATGTTGGTTATAGTGTGCAAAAATAAAGTATTATGACCCAAGGTAAAAATCATCAGCCTAAAGCTAAATCAGCATCTTTTGAAAATAACATCCTGGATGACCTAACCAGCTCCAGATATAACCAGAGATTTATGAGAGACGCTAGGTGGCCTCTGCCCACACATTAAACAATGCCATACTTAGGAAAGTCTCTGCAAACGTGGTCCTTCACACTTATAAATGTGCTTGCCAAGTTTTAGGACAGTGCACAGAGATGCAAGGAAAACTCAAAGAACTATGGTAAACCATATCTTGGCATAGCTGAGGGCCTGAAATCTGAATAACACACTCCAGCCAGAGTTATCAAAGGTGGATAAAAGAGGTTATGTATAATAAGGGCAAACTTTTCAAGATGTTGTGTTGCTCACACAAGTTCTTATTTCTTAGAACTGTATCACAACCAAGAGTTGAAATAATTTCTGAAAATAACCTCCAATCCCATTATCATTGGACTTTTTCCTAATATCTCACTGGGGGACAATTTATACAGTTTCTTCTTAGAGCACTCACCTTCTCCAAAGATCCAACAGGACAACCCTTGTACTATGTAACCCCACCCCAGCCACAGCTCACAGACTCAGGAATGGACAGTTGACACTAGAGGAGCCAAGCCAAGTCCTGTCTAAATAATCTGAGTGGACAGACTCAGACTGGGGTGATAGTAGCTGTCTCAATAATAACACAGTGCCAGAAGAAGAAACTCCTCCTAGAGACCTTCTTTTCCTTGGAATCTGTGATATCTATGTCCTTTATCCCTCCTTCACCCCCTTGAATGGGTCCTTTCCAAGTAAATGTACACTGACCAAGAGAAATCAAGGTGAAAAAGGAATAAATAATGTTTTTAAGTCCTATCTTTTTCTCCAGTGGTAAAGTTGGTCAACAACCTACACTTCCAATAGGCCTTGCCCACAGTCACTGGTGTTTGTATTCCTTTGTACTGAGACAGGCCACAGAAAAATTCCCTTGGAGGCTTGCCACTTGAACCATGGCAGGAGAACCATCCACATTCCCAAATTCCAACTTGCTATGGGAATGGGTCTCAGAACAGGGCTTTCCTAGAAAGTCCTTCCTACCACAGGAACCAGAACACAGCGAAAAAAGCACTGGGAGAGCATCTACTACATCCCACCTCAGAACTATGGGCTTCTAGGCAGACAAGCTCCCCTGCCAAGCCCTCCCTGGTAGAAAAATGGCTTCTACTCACATCGTCCTGCACATCGAGGTCGCAGCCAGCCTTCAGCAAGATCTGGACCACAGAAAGATGGCCCTTATTGGCAGCAAGATGCAAGGGCGTCCGGCCATGCTGTTAATGGAAAGCAAACAGTGATTTCAGAGCATAACAACAAAACCATCTCATTAGGGCAGGTGGGACTAGAGCAAGGAAGGATTGCATAACAGCTTTTAAGGAGAACACTCACCTGCCCCTCAGCCTTGGCAGGAGATTCTTATGAATTTATCCAGAATTCAAGTTGTCTCTGTCAACTTTGGCTATCGGTTTTATAATCAGTGAACAAAATATGTTCAAAATGTGAAGATACCCTTTACTGTAAAATTTCTACTCTTCACTCCTAAGCAGTAAATTAACAAGTAGCAAAATAGGGGGCCTCCTGTCTTCTCATTTTCCCACTGGTGATAGTACTATGGGTGAAGAAGCACCATGATGAATCTGACCAGGGCAAGGAGTAGCAGGATACCAAATTCCAAGCTAATCAGCCCTGGAAAACTCCCTTTAGCAACCTTAAAATTAAAAACCACAATTACACAGATGAGGAAATGTTCTCTCTCCTTTTCAAATCACATTTTAAAATTATAAAATAGCACAGTCATTTAAAAATATAAAAATTTTAAATTCACATGCCCACCAACCATTTTAAGAAAGCATCAGAGAAACCACTGATGTTCCTGTTAAGGCCCCCCACATCTCACACCTCTCTCCCTCCCCAGAGGCACCACCTCCCACTGCTTCAGCATTCATCTTTCCATGGCCTTCCATGATGTCATGGTTACCTGTCTGTAGCAAGAGATAATCTATAAGCATTGCTTTGCTTGTTTCAAACTTTATAGCAAAGGTATTAAACTATACACTATAACCTGGCACTTTTATTATCTGACATGTATTTTTAATTTTTTTTTTTGGCAGTATGGGGTTTTGAACTCAGGGCCTTGTGCTTGCTAGACAGGTGCTCTACTATTTAATCCTTGCTCCAAGTCCTTTTTTTTTTTTTTTGCTTTATTTTTGGAATAGCATCATGCATACCCCTCACCCAAGGTGGACTGGCCTGGATGGCAATCCTCCTATTTATGCTTCCTTTGTAGACAGGATGACGGGCACATACCACTGCACCCAGCTATTAACTGAGATGGGGGTCTCAATAATATTTTGCTAGGGCCAGCCTGGAACCTCTATCCTACCAGCCTCTGTAGCTGGATTACAGACATGAAACATCACACCTGGCCTTGAGGTTGTTTATCATATTGTTATGTGCAGTTTCAGTTCATGATCTATTCTACTGCAAGCACCTGGCTGCTTCCTGCCATTTGCAGATCACATCTGTGTGATGATCTCCTCATGCACCTGAGTGGGCTTCTCAGCCCTGTGACTGTGTCACAGAGAAGACCATTCTATCAACTGCTCAAAGCCTATAGGCTTCGAGTAACACACTGAGGGTGACACCCAGAAGAAATAACACTCTGTAGTGTTAATTAACTTCTGCCCAGAGAACTGATCTTGCCAAACTCCAACTTCTCCAAGCTCTAAAGGAGGTATTCTGTTCCCCTTGCTCTCTTCTTTAAGGTTCAGTGTAAGTAAAGGTTCAAGCATCATTTAACCAGGTCCCACCCACAAGAAAATGCATCCCTGAGGAATAAGGGTATCATTGGGCCTTTCATCCTGTTTGGCATTTCAATAAAAACCCAAAGCCTTTATTGACATTCTAGCAGAATGAACCTGTTTATGATCTCTGTAAAGTAGCAATTTGACATGGGTAACTAGCCACAGAGGAAAACAGAGATAATAGTAAAGAATCTTAATTTCTAAGCCATCAATGCAATCAAAGCAGTAGAATGAGTATGGAAAGAAAGAGGTCAGAGCTCATTTTAAAATTAGAATTCTTAATTAAGAACAAAGCTACTCCCGAGAAAGTGGGCTATAAAAAGCCTCCATAAAAAAGGCAAGGTCTCAGATGAGAGGAAGGAATGACCTTTCTCGGCTGGTGACTGTGCTTGGCCACATGCTACTTAGCCTTGATTCTTTAAAGAAATGTCCATAGCTGATCAGATGGAGCAAAATGACTGGGTTTCACTCACTGGGCCTTGTCTCAGGCCCACCTGTCATCACACGTCCTTGTCAAGGATCTCACACCTTGACATTGAATGAGTGGTCTTCACAGTTTTCTAAGGCATTCTGAATCACAGGAGAGTTCATCACAGGTGTGAGGAAGGTGACAGCATGGTCAGACACAGGTGCCTTCCAGTACCAAAAAACATGGACCAAACTTGAGTACTGGTGGCTCACACCTATAATCTTAGCTACTTGGAGGCTGAGATTAGGAAGATAGAGGTTCTAGGGCAGCGGAGGCAAATAATTCACTAGAGCCCATCTCCAAAATAACCAGAGCAAAGTGGGCTGGAGGTGCGGCTCAAGTGGTAGAGTACCTGCTTTACAAGCTCAAAGCCCTGAGTTCAAACCCTAGTTCCACTAAACATAGGCCAGGACAGGAAGAGGTTGCATAGAGAGAGGCTGACTATAGACAGGGGATCCTAGGGAACATTGTGGTAGCATTCACCTGGTGGGGAAGTTGAAGCCAAAGGAGGAAAACAGGTTTGTCACGTACATAGAAGTAATTAGAAGGCAGAAAAGGAAACACTTGTTGTGGTCTGCTATGGAATGAGCTAACATCCAATGAATATTTGCACCCCCCCCGCCCCGCCACCATGCTAAAGCCCTAATGCCCAGTGTAATGGTATTTGGAGATGAGGCCTTAGGTCATAGTGATGAGCCCTCATAATGGGATTAGTGCCCTTATAAGAAAAGATATGAGAGAGGTTGCTGCCTATCTTCCCACTAGGTAAATACATTGTAAGAAGGCAGCCATGTTCAATCCAGAAAGCAAGGACCTCACTGGGCCCTGGGTGCCAGTACCTTGATCTTGGCTCTTGATCTAGAATAGCGAGAAACTAATGTCTGCAGTTTAAACACCCAGTCTATGGTCTCTTGTTAGGGAACCAGATTGGACTACGATGGGCTCAAATCAGATCACATCTGGGAGGATACTTTTGAAATGACAAATAAAAAACAAGGTGGGCCTGGACTGGAGACTCTGACCTAATCCAAAGTCAACCAAGAGTCCCCACTGTGGAGAAATGAAAGGCCAAAGGTATTGGGATGGGATGCACCTACTGCAAATGCTAGCTCTGACTAGTAACACCTGTGTGATTTTGTGCACCATAATTTCCTAAGCCAGCCATGGAGCACATACAAACTGATCCTTCCAGACATCTTTGAATGAATTTGACAAGACAATAACACTGTTGTCATTTCCATGTTCCTAGAACTGGCCAGGGAAAGAAATGGGGACAGGAAAAAAAAAGACTGTACTACTAATAATAAGATGAAGAAGTTTTAGTTTGTTTTGGTTTTTTGGCAGTACTGAGGTTTGAACTCAGGGCCTCACACTTGGTAGGCAGGTGTTCTACCACTTGAGCCATGCTCCCAGCCCTTTTTCTTTCTCTCTCTCTCTCTTTTTTTTTTTCCATGAAAGTATAAAAGTGGTATTTTATTATCATAGACCTCTTTTGTAAGTTTAAATTTATTTCTACTTATCAGAAAGTCAATGGGAGCCAAGGGTGCTTTGATGAGGAAAAGAGAACATAGAACAATGCAATTATGTGTGTTTGCCATTACAGTTTTTAATAGCATTTTAAAACAAGAATTCCAAATCAAGCATTTCTAAAGCTCTTGAAATACCTCACTGGCATATAAAATTTTAATGAACACAATCTGGAAACCACAGATATCCCAGCCCTTTTTGCTTTGGTTATTTTTTGAGTAGTGTCTTGTGTTTATGCCCAGGCCAGCCTTCTCCTATTTATGCCTCTCACATAGCTCGGATGACAGGTGCATGTCACCATGCTTGGCTCTTTTCAATTGAGATGGGTTCTTGTGGATTTTTTACCTGGGGTTGGCCTCAAACCCCAAAGTAGAAGAAACTTTTGAAGCATCAGTTTGTACTGGATTCTACTCCAGCCATCCTCAAGGATAAGTTCAGCTCAACTCACCCCAGGCTCTGGTGGCTCAGGGAGACCAATGCCAACAAAGGCCAAAAGCATGGAATAGCAGTGACTAACGTTTACTGTATGATCAGCACTATATTAATATCTTACATGTGTTAGTTCATTCAGTCCTCCCGATTACCCCCATAAGGTGATTAACAATAGTGTTAATACAGATGAGGAAACTGAGGCACAGGGAGACTGTCACTTCTTCTAGAAGTATAGACTCATCCCTTAGGGCACCTGACTCTTACCCACCCACCCACATGCCAACCTGGTGGTGCGGGGAAGTGGAGAGAGCAATGTCTTGCTCTTAGGATGCTCCCAAGTTCTTGAGTGTTGTGCCCCTGGCCAAACACTGACCTCTGGGATTTCTTAGAAATCACCTGCTTTCCTTAGAACCTCAAGGATGAGCACAAGTTTTCTGTTTTCTGTGTACACCTAAATGTTCTAGGAAGGCTGATCTGCCTACCTGTCTACACTGATGTGTAAGCCCCTTCAGAGTCTCCGATGTACTAACTCTTGGTGATAGGGCCCAGGTGTTGTCATTTTGTACAACTTCCCCAGGTGACTCTAATGTGTCAGAATGAGAGGAGGAGGGGACGAGATAAACAGTCCCCAGAGCAGCTCTCAGGCTAAACCTGCCAGACTGAGCCTGCCCAAGCAAGACCCATTCTTCTGGAAAACATTCTTCACGATACTTCTCCCCAGCTGTCAGTGCAAAACACCCCAAGTACTGCATTGCCACAACTCACAGCTCCCCATCTTCAAAGGTTGTATATACCAAATAATGACATTACTAAAACCTTGGGAGAAAAAAATCATCTCTAATTCCACAACACAACTCAACTATTACCCTTTTGAACCCATCTTTCTCAGAACATCTCTTCTACTGGTACTTTTGCAGAAATACATTCCATGTCACATAAAATCCTGCCTTTTGTTTGTTTGTTTGCAGGGGTGTGGGGTGGCAATACTGGGATTTGAACTCAACGTCTTGCACTTGCTAGGCAGGTGTTAAAAAAGGGCTGA